GAGAGAGAGAGAGAGAGAGAGAGAGAGAGAGAGAGAGAGAGAGAGAGAGAGAGAGAGAGAGAGAGAGAGGAAGGAGGGGAGAGAGAGGGGGGCTGGTGGTTACCCGCCTGGCGACCTCAGGAGATGACGCCTCACTCCTCCCGCTGCTTCTTGGGCTGCTTCCCGCTGAATCTTGTGCGCTGGCTATGGCTGGACGACGACGCCTTGGACTGCTGCTGCTGCACAGGAGATGTGGAGCGAACCAGGTGACGGGCAACGCACGGCGGCCGCGAAGGTGCACAGATCGTCACAGGCACAAAGGTGGACTACCGGGGTTCATCCTGGCAGCGTGGGGCAGCCCACACCATTTCAAAACCACAAAATCGAATGAACTACAGCTCCCCCCTTTTTTTTTCGGAGGCCCCGCCCGACCTCCATTTTTTTTTTTTTTTTTTTTTTTTTTTTTTTTTTGGTGCTTGACACTACATCCTACCAGTGCCCACAACACCCCAACTTCTTCTTTCTTTTCACGACCCCGTCTTTTCTGGGTGCGCCGCACCCAGTGCGCGCACGTCGTGCGCTGTGCACTGTGCGGCGCGTGTGCGTAGCGCATCTCGATGCGCCGAAACTATGGAAAGTTTGTATGGGAGTCTGTCACATAGATGAAAAAGAGACTAAAACACAAACAAATGGTTTGAACGGTCAGATGAAAAAGTATCGAATTCCGGAGGAATTTGACTGCGATTGATTCTGTCACCTTCATTCAAGTTCATTGTCAGTGCGATAATTTTTTTTTGGCGGGTTGGTGTGTGCAGTATGAAGGGGCTCCGGAGAGGGGTGGATCTATATTTGGGTAAGGTTGGTTGTATTTATCACACACCCTTTCATTTGGTTTTTGGTTGGGTTTCAGACAAGTCGGAACATGGCGTGTGATTGTGTATATTTGCTGCAGAGCCAAGCTACCGGGACAAATAGCCAGTGGGGGATCGAACCCAATGGCCGAGGTCATGCACAGATCTTGATCTGGATGCTTAGTTGGACAAAACCTGGCTGTCGCTGTGATGGCTAATAGAGGGAAATATTCAGCCTCCTGACGAGTCGGTCACAGCTCCCTCGTTTGTTGTCCTCTTCTCCCTCTCTGCCTACGGTTTACTGGGCAGCTCTGTTTGACGATGTATAAGTAAGTTTTCTGCTTTTGTGGCCATTTGGAGTTAACATGTTTGGGGGTATTTTGGGCCCACGTGGGGGTGAAAATGTTGATGTACGTGGTGGTGACGTATAAGGATGAAAAGTGGTCTTGTCCCCTCCATGAGGTCTTCAAACTTCTTAAAAGATGTTTGTATTTCAGATCTCACAAACCGATTTTAAGACCCGCCTCCCCCCCTCCCCCCCTCCCCCCCCGTCCTCTCTCTTTCTCACCAAGCCAGCACCTAAGAAGAATGACTGAAAAACATATTATTCTGAATGTATTCAGGAATTGCATTGCATTTTGTTTCTAAGCTTTGAGAGTTTCTGAGTCTGCTGGGAGTGGTTGCTGCAGGTGAGTGGTCGCGTCATGTATCCAGCTGGATTTGATCAGTGGAGAAGAGATGAGAAGGTTGACTTCAAACGCGCACGATATGGTAAATGTCTAATAGATCTGATCTGCAATCTCTACGCTTGTGAATGATTGAAGGAATGCAGAAAGGGAGAAAAGAGGGATGACAATTTGATCCATTCGTGGAGGTCAGTGGTATCAATAAGGGACGAGATCTTTTCTATCTGCAAATTGCATGTGCTTTCGAGAACAGCCTGCAAGGGCTGGGCTTTGCAGCGAGTTTGGTTGCAAAACATCAATGGCTGTGGAAGACATCAGTTTGGCATTTGCCGTCCCCGATGGTCAGCGTACAGGTGGGAAGTTTTGTGAACTCGTCTTGTCTGTTCTTCTCCTCGTTTTTCTCTTCACCCTTCTTGTGGTCCTTGTCATGTCTGCATCCTGTTGCTCCTGGGG